TATATGACATGGATAACCAATTGGAAGCTCAGAATGTCCCCCTAGTGGCTTTCTCAGCTATTTTAACAGACATGGCATCAGTACTTTCTTTTGAACCAATATTTCAATGAGGTAAGGTGTGTCTTTAGTCTGCTCGAAATTTCTATTTTTTTTTTTTTTACTAAAATGCATCTTAGTTACTAAGCTTGATAAATTATAATGGAATTCTATGGTATTAATGTAGTAATTTATGATTTTTTAGTTATTCAAATATATATATATAAAACCTAAAATAATATATTGTTTCATATACTCCACATGCTATATTTTTAAAGGCTTAGCAGCCTATGTCAAGTAGAAACCGAGTACAATGGTCGTACCTAGAAGAAATGATTGTTTGCTTTACTTTGTTAGTTACTGTTCTATATTTTAAGAAAAATAAGTTTAAGAACTTATTTCAAAATAACAATAAAATATATATATAATAATAATAATTGAAATTTGACTATATTTTACAAAATACTAGTCTACTAAAACACAGCCAAGACAAGTTACTTTGTACAGACCAAAGGTCAGTGTTATGTTATTTGATATGGTAACGTGAGTGTCCGTGAGCCACATCATTGTAACTTCTGTATTGTTAGCCAGGCATGGTTGAAAGGTCAATATAATAAAAATAATAAATATATATATAAATGTATAATGTTATGTGATTTAAGCTATTTAGTCTAAACATTTATGTTTGTGTTCATTCTGGAATGAAAAAGGCATAATTTATATTTACTTCCAAATTTTTTATGGTGGTTGCAAGATTGGTCAAATCTACCGAACCCGTACAGAGATTAATTACCGAAAATAACAGAATATAAAATTTTTTTCTTAAGAAACAGTTGATAACTATCTCGACATTATAAAAATTTTGCATGTGAAATTTCAAACTTTTCTGGTGAATAAAAGTGTTTTTAATTTTAAAATTAATATTACTTTGCATGATAGATAGGCAAAATGCAAAAAGAAAAAAACATTGCTTTATAAACCTTAAGACTTAATAATAATAAAAAAGTTTGATATTTTGCATATGAAAGTATTGTAATGTTTACTGATAATCTGTCAAATTTTGTGTTAACATTCACTTACTAATTAAAATGTTATAACAAGCACAAAATGTTATGAGGTCGGTCCCAGGGACCGAGCCCATGCTAAAAGAGTTAACATCATAGTATATTCACACTTATTATTAATTTCATTCGTAATTCATAGATAAATGTTTGCTTTCTTCATTTTTGTATTTTGATTATACATTTGAAAAACTAATATCTTGAACTTGACACTACAATTTATCAATTATATCAATAAATGACTGAAAGGCTGGAGTTTACTACTGGTACATATTTGTAAATCATGGTATTTCAAGTTTGAAACCAGTGTGAGTACAACATCTTTCCTTTACTTTCATAGGTACTTATATAAGTTCGTACTTCATTTTAAACATTTGGTTGTTGACAATATACATGTCATTTGTCCATATAATATGAATTGTGCATATGAGTTTGAAATATGTTTTTCATTGATTATTACATATTTGAACTTGCAGTGTGAATTCTTTTGTTATATTCATTATTTAAAATTCATAGAAACCCCCTAACAGTAACATTAATTTGAAAATGGATAGGTTATTGACCTGTTTATCTGCTCATGTTTACATTACCATGAATGTGTAATTAAATTAGTAATTAAAACAGGCAAAAGATTATGAACAACCTTATATTTTTTCCTTGTGATTTTTCAACAGATATATAACCCTTTGTTATAGACATTGTTCATAATTGAGTGACGTCACTTAGATTGGGGAAGGGCATAAGGTAAAATGGTAATGCTTAAAGGAAGTTCAGTATAGAAAAGTTTGGGAATTGCTGGTTTAAGGTAGCATAAACTCAAATACACAAATCTGAAAATACATTTACAACACCACATTTATATTTTTGATTAAT